GGGCGCGGAGGGAAGCCGTGTGCAGGAGGGGGGTGGTGGGCCCTCCCATCTACAGCCAAGCCCGAGAGCCTGCTACCTGCTTGAAGGCAGGGTATTAATTGCAACCACATGGCTGGTCTGCGAGATGGTTTTATGAAGACCGCTCCCTTCAACACGAAACCCTGCTCCCCCAGAAGTCTCCCGGCCGCACAAAAGCCGTTATTTTCCCTGTGCTTCCGACACCCCTCCACCCTCACCGCCTGACCCCATTCCTCCCCCTGCCACCCCCTTCAAAGCAAACCCAACCGTGAACTCCATCCTAAAAATAACCTCAGACCGCCCCTCTCCTCCGATCACGTCTGGGGGGGGCGTCTAGGGGTCTCTTTCCCAACTCCCACCGTCATCTTTGGAGACTGTGCCTCGGAAGAAGGGACATTTATCAGGAAGTTGGTTTAGGAATGTGTGGTACATTCTCAAAGACCAGTTTCAGTCCAGGAACTGCCATTTTCCAGAACAGAAAGAAGTGCCTGAGCTTTTAAAGCATCTGTTTGCATACTTGCTAGTATGCCAGCCTGTCCTGAAGCCATTTACTTTTCATTTCACTCTTGCTACCCTCCCGGGAGGTGGGCACGATGATGGCTGCCGTTTTCGGAGGCTCCTCCGAGATCACACGGCTAGCGAGGGCCAGAGCTAGCATTTGAACCCAGGTCTGACTCAGGAGGCCATGCGCTTGTCGCCGAGCCAACCCACCAACACACCGAAAGAATTTCCCTTTACCCAGCAACTTTTCGAGAGAAAGAGCTGACACAGTCACCGTGGTCTTCAGACTCTCTTAGGCAAAGTCACTTGGGGAGTTTGAGAAAACAGCAAATTCCTGAGTCTGGCCCCAGAAATGTTGATTCAGTCCATCTCAGGCAGGGCCCCAAAACATGCATTTTAGCAGACGCCTCCCAGGTGATGTTGATGCAGGTGGTCTGAGGAAAGCTGGCCAGGAACCTCTCGGAGAAAGTGACATGGGACTTGGGTCCCAGGAGTCTTGGGACCTCGGTCCAGGGCCCTTTTCCCAGCACCACCAGACCCTTCTGTGCCTTTAGAATTAAAAATGCCCACAGGGAGCTGAATGAACTCTCGTTAATTCTTTGGAAACGAGTCATGACATGTGATTATGTCTAGTAAATTTCTTGACTATTCTCTTTATCACTCACCAATCCTCTAAATAAGCCAGAATTTCCTGTCTTCTCCGCTGGGGGTGGTGGTGGGGGGGAGGTGTGGGGACCCTGCCCATGGCAGCTGGCAAGGACTCATCAGCATCCCTGTGCTTAGCACTGGGGATACAAAGATGAATGAAGGACCAGCTCCTTCCGCCGAGTGCCCAGAGCCTGGACTCCAGGGACACCCACATGGGCTCACGGCCTGCTCCTGAAAGCCCACTGTCAGCTTGAGGTTTATGACACACCAACCAGCCCGAGGCTCTCAGTGATGTGCAGAATCCTCTCTACGAGGTCAGCAAGTCCCTCAGTCTGGGCTGCAGGCTCATGGACTTATGAAAAGGGATGAGGACATTCTAGGGTCAGCCCTCCAGGAGCCACCTCCTCAGCGGGGCTCGGCCGGCACCCTTGGCCAAAGTTTCTCATTGTCTGTTGAAACCCATGGGCAGTAGAGCTGGCTGGGCCCAGGAGGGGTCGGCCATGCCTCTTTC